ATTAAATCACTAAGAATTTTTAAAAAACCATTCAAAAATTATAAATTTCAATTTAAAAAAATAAACAAAATTTTTTTTTAACTCACTGCGATGTCTCAGCCCCCATTCTCGAGATCATCCCTGAAGCTGCTCTCGTTCGATGACGCACTTCACAAGTTAGCACTCACAAAAAAATGTGTCAGCGACACTTTCCACTGTTTTTGAAAAAATGCACTTCTTTTTGGAGGATATCCAAAAACATCCAAAAACGTCCAATAGATTGAAATTTATTTAAATATTTCCAGTGTTTCCAAACTTTTCCAACGTATCCAAAAATATCACCAAAAATATCCAGAAATATCCAGATTATCCAAACGGCCCGAAAATAATCCGTCAGCGAGGTGTTGCACGGCCCGAGGTTCATTAATAACTGAAGAAATGGCTGTCCTGTCGTTAACCATTACCGTTAATTACCATTAATTGATTTTTAATGAGTTTTTAATTGCTTCAAAATTTACACATTTTTCTCTCTCATATTTTCAAAAATAAAATTTTCGAAAATTTTTAAATGATTTTTTACATATTTTACGCGTAATAAATGGTACAAAATAGATGACATAGGGGGGGGGGGGGGTATTTACGTAACGTTTTTTTTAATCCATCGCTTTTTCTCTGACTCTTAAAGAGAAAATAAAAAATTTCAAAAATATTCTAAAAATTATTTCTACTTTTCGCAGGAAATAAAAAGGACAATGAAAATGACGTAGAGGAGTTAGTGACGTCACATTTCTTGTAAATATTTTCCTTTTCTTTCCCTCTTACACTTATGGAGAAAAAAAAATTTTTCAAATGCTACTATTTTTTTCTTTAATTCTTTCAGAAAATAATGAGGACAATGGCTATGACGTAGAAGAGAAGATAATGACGATTAATTTCTTGAAAATTTAATTATCATTTGTCTCTCTCACTCTTAGGGAAAAAATTGACCTTTTTAGCAAATTTTCAAAAATTTTAATTTTTGTTTTTTTATAAACGGGACAAAAAAATGTAAAAAAAATTATTTAAATTTTGGAAAAATGAGATTAAAATTATTTAAATTTTGGAAAAATGTAAATAAAATTATTTAAGTTTTGGAAAAATGTAAATAAAATTATTTAAATTTTGGAAAAAAAATGTAAATAAAATTATTTTGAATTTGCAAAAATTAAAATAAAATTATTTAAAGTTGGAAAAAATAAAGTCAATTTAAATACAAATAATTTAACATTTGAAAAAATTAAATGACTGAGAATTTTAAAAAAAACCATTTAAAAATTATAAATTTCAATTTAAAAAAATAAAAAATCTTTTTTTAACTTACTGCGATCCCTGGAGCTGCTCTCGTTCGATGACGCACTTTCCAAGCTAACACTCACAAAAAACAAAAATTTTAATTTCTTCGAACTTGATAACGTTGTTTCTGCCCCAGACACTTTCCAAGGTTTTTGATAAAATGCACTTTTCTTGGGAAAATATCCAAATACATCCAAATTTATCGAAAAACGTCCAATATATTTAAATTTGTACAAAAATTTCCAGCGTTTCCAAACTTTTCAAACGTATCCAAAAATATCACCAAAGATATCCAGAAATATACAGATTATCCAAACGGCCCCAAAATAATCCGTCAGCGAGGTGTTGCACGGCCCGAGGTTCATTAATAACTGAAGAAATGTCTCTCCTGTCGTTAACCATTACCGTTAATTACCGTTAATTGATTTTTAATGAGTTTTTAATTGCTTTAAAATTTACACATTTTTCTCTCTCTTATTGTCAAAAATAAAATTTTCGATAATTTTTAAATGATTTTTTTACATATTTCACGCGTAATAAATGGTACAAAATAGATGACGTAGGGGGAGGTAATGACGTAACGTTTTTTTTTAATTGACGCCTTCGCTTTTTCTCTGACTCTTATATAAAAAGTAAAAAATTTCAAAAATATTGTAAAAATTATTTTGTACTTTTATCGCAGGAAAAAACGGGACAATGGCACTTTCTTCAACTGAATCAGTGAAATTTGACTGATTATCAGTGATTCTCTTCTCGCGAGTTGAATCAGTGACATTTCATTGACGATCTATAAAAAATGATTGAAATTTCAGTCATTTTTCACAAAAAAATAACAATAAAAAATAATTACTATAAAATAGCCTATTAAATAATAACTGAAATTTTCAATATTCGAGACAGTAAATTTTACTAATAAATAGGCATTTTTACTAAATTTTTAGTAAAATTGACTAATTCAAAAGCAAAAAGTCAGTCACTAATTCAAATCAGTAAAAAAATTTACTAATTCAAATTTAGAGAGTATACTACAAAAATTATTATTGATATTATTAAATTGAACCACAGTCAATTTCTTCTAGAAATGTCTGACTATAATTAACTCAAATTACTTATATTAAAATTTAAATAAAAGTCAATAGCAGTCTAACTAAAAATTACTATTCCTACTAAAAATTTAAAGGACTGACAAAAACTATTTATACTAGAATAAAATTTATTTGAAAATGAAACCTTGATTGACTCAAATTGACTATTTCTGTTTAAAAATTAAAAATTATTTTTACTACTTAAAATTAGTACTAAATTTTAGCAGTCCATTTTTATGTAAGTTTTATTATCAGTAGTATAAGTAAATGACTAGTTTGTTTTTTTAGTTTGCCTTTTTCAGTAGGTAGTATAAATTAATTTTTCGACAGACTTAAATTTTCAGTAGAAATATTTAATTATAGTCAGACAAGAGATCATATTTACATTAATTTTGTTGTCAGTAATATAAATAAATTGTAATCTCCTTCTTTTTAGTAGAAATTAATCGTAAATTTTAGTCAGGCATCGCTACATTTTCATATAAATTTAATATCAGTATTGTAAATAATTTTTAGCCAGAGTTTTTCATTTTTAGACGAAGTAGTAAATAGTAGACAGATAGCAGTTTATTTTCTATAAATTTTATATATGGATATTTATTATAATTATTAAATGAATTATATTATTGAATTACTGAAATAACGCGAGGAACGAGTAAATTTGGTATTAAAATTTCTCACAGTATAGTAAAAAATTTTTTAAGTCAGACTGAAGATTTTCATCTCTTTTAATTAGAAAATAAGTAGTAGATGTCAACATCAGTCAGACAGGCATTTTTTATTCTATAATATTTTAAACTTTAGGGAGTAAAATAATTTTTTAGACAGGAAAAATTTTGTTCAACTCCTCTGTGAATTTTTAGGCCGGATTTGCTTTTTTTTCGCTTTGTATTTTCAAATTAGTAGTACATGTCATTTTTAGTCAGACATAAAATACGTTGTTTTAAAATTCTTAACTACTTTAGTTTTAAGTAGTACAGGTATTTTCTAGTCAGACAAAACTGATCAAGACTCAAAACTGTTCGACATGCAACACTAAAATATTCGAGAAAAATTGGTAATTGCTACTTTTCTCAGTAGTAAAAATTTTTTATGTCAGACGGAATGTTTTTAACCTGCGGACATAAAATGAGAGTACTTTCTGATAGATTAATAAAGTTTAAATAAATTGTTTTTGGAATTTTAATTTTGCAAAAAAAAGTTTTTTGCTCATCACTTTAAAAAAATGTAAGGACACCTATAAATGTTTTTCCATAATTTTGTAGAGTTTTTTTAGACGCATCTTTTGAGCCCTAATTAAAATTTTTTCGTCCATATTAACCGGAGTTATTAAACTTTTAAAAATCAAAAATTTTGGAAAATAAGACTTTTTTGAAAATTTTGTTGAAAAACGTAGAAGTAACATGAAAATTATCGTTACCAACTTGTAGATCATTAAAAAACGCTTCGATTGACCTATTTTTGAACCTAATTCGATAATAAATTTCGAAATTATTGGTATTTTAAAAACCAAAAATTGTGAAAAATGACATTTTCTCAACTTTTTTGTTTGAAAATTTTTGTTTAACTATTAAATTATTGTAACTATCTTGTAGGGTATTTAAAAATAAATTGATTGACCCAAAATTCGCAACTATTTTGATACGTTTTTTGTCTCAATTTGATATCCTTAGAAAAACTGTGTTATTAAAATTAAATATTTTTTTTTATAATATTTGAAGTCAAACTTGATTTAATTTCAGAAGATAAAATTTTAAAAACTTTATATTGTTATAAAAACAAAAATACAGAAAAAAATAACTAGAACTCGGATAAGTTTCTAAAATAGTGAAAGTCTTAACTGAATCAACTAAAAAATTTCCCTAATTTAATGGAATTATTGTTAGCTGTTCTAGGTAAAGCGTTTTTTCGTAACAAATAAAAACAAAAAAATAAAATAATAAAAACGATTAATTTAATATATATGTATATTAGTGAAAATTACAAGAATAACAATTTTTAATTCGAGAAAAAAAATGTAATCAATAAATAGCAATAAAACTACAACTATTACTTATTAGTAGAAAACAAAAAAAAAAACTGAAAATTCATTCAGTGTAGATTATTTTTCACTCTTATTGCATTAAAACTGAATTACTTTGAATTAATTGAATTAATTAAAAAAAGAGAGTAAAAATTAATTAATAAATAAATTGTAAATTAAATGTCAAATAAATTATAAATTAATTCACAAATAAATTAAAACCTAATTAAAAGCGTATTGTCCCTTATTTTTAATGGTGAATTAAAGAATAAAAAGTATAAATTAATTGATAAGTAAATTATAAATAAAAAAATAAAAAAAGCTAGTTATAAGTGTAATTACATTATTTTGAATAAATTAATTAAATTAATTGAAAAAAGAAAGAAGAAATAAATTAATTAAAAGCTAATGAAAAAATAAATTGAAAGCTAATGAAAAAATAAATTGGAAGCTAATGAAAAAATAAATTAAAAAGTAAATTAGAAACTAATTGTTAAACATAAATTTTAAAATGTAGTTACAAAAGTTAATTAAAAAAAATTTTTTAACAAAATTTACTAATTTTGCGTTTTAATTTTTAGCAAGCTGTGCCAATTAAGGCTTGGGACAATATTTTAGATGCTTCTGAAGAGGGTCCAGCGTGTCCTCAATTTAGAGACAATTCTACCTCTGAAGATTGTCTTCGTCTAAACGTTTACACAACAGAGGTAAAAAAAAAAGTGTAAAATAGTATGAAAGAGTGTAAAAAAAATGTGTATTTTATAGAGAAAAAAAATATCTTCTTTTTCCTAAACTTTAGTTAACTACAGGAAGTAAAAATGTATCCAAGCCAGTTATTGTTTTCTTTCATCCCGGTGGATTTTACTTTAGATCTGCACAAAGTACTTATCATGGACCACAATATCTTTTAGACAAGGATCTTGTTCTAGTTACTGTCAATTATCGCCTTGCTTCTTTAGGTACATTTTTTGTTTATGTACCTTTAAAATTTTTTATTTCTTTACTTTTTTATTATTTCTATATTTTTATTTTTATAATTTTTATTTTTTATGTACTACTTACTCTTTAATTATTTCTGTTTAATTATTTCATTGATACACTACTTACTTTTTTAATATTTTAATTTATTACTTACTTTTTTATTACTTCATTTTTTTATTCACTAATTTTTTTTACTATTTTAATATGTTTATTAACTTATAATTTTTATTGTTTTTTATTTGCTACTTACTCTTTAATTACTTCTATATTTTTTTTTTGCTTATTTTTTATTATATTTTCATAATTTTATATTTTTCTTACTTTTTTAATATTTTAATTTATTACTTACTTTTTTGTTATTTTTAATTACTTACTTTTTTATACTACTTCTATATTTCTATTTACTTTCTTTTTTTAATATTTTTATTAATTTACTTTTTTATTATTTCTATTTCTCTATTTTCATTTACCAGTTTTTTAATTTTTTAACTATAATCATAAAGATTTCCTAAATTTTCATAGTGTAAATAATATAAATTTTTAATGTCCCTGGAAATTAGAGTAGAAATTTAAAAAAGAAAAGTATCAATTGATTGAAAAATCAAAAATTAATAATTTTGCCCAATTAATATTATTTATTGCACAAAATATTTATTATTATAAATAATAAATATTATTTATTGCGCAAAATATTTATTGTTATAAATAATAAATACTGTATAAAAACTGTTATAAACATTAATACTGTATATTAATTGTAATTAAAGCAGATAAAATATTTATTTGGTAAATATTATAATTTTTTTCTATTTGTTATTAAATTTCCATGACTTTATTTTATTTATTTATTATTTTTTATTTATTTAATTTATTTCATATAATAAACAGGATTTATAAGCGCTGCACATCCACTACTTCCGGGCAATAATGGTCTCAAGGATCAAGTGGTGGCCCTAAAATGGGTGAAGGAGCACATTTCGAAATTTGGCGGAAATCCAAATTGTGTGACGATTGCGGGACAGAGCGCAGGTTCGTGGAGTGTTGCATTGCACATGATGTCACCAATGTCAAAGGGTCTCTTTCACAGGGTGATTTCAATGAGTGGTTCACCCGTCAAACCGGAACCACTTCCGAGTCATCAAAAACATCTCGCCAAGAAACAGGCTCAAATTTTAAATTGTCCCACTGATCCAATTGAGGCGATGGTCGAATGTCTCAAAACAAAACCTGCCGAGGAATTTGGCAAATCTTTTCCTAAATTTAACGTAGGTTCGAAATAAAATTAAAATTTAATATTACCACCCCTCCTTTTTTTTCTTTGGTTCATTTTCATTTTTTTTTTTTTTGCACATAGCTTATTTTGAATTTTTATTACTCGGAAAAAATTCTAGAAAAACTAGAAAAAATACTAATAATTTAAATTTAAAAATAATAACAATTATTATTTTCTAAAAATTATTTTTTATTTCTTTTAATTAATTAATCCCGATAAAACAGGAATGGTACGGTGATCCGATTTTAAGATGGAGACCAGTAGTGGAGCCAAAATTTCCCGGAGTCGAAAGATTTCTTACTGATGATCCGCAGAATTTGATTCGAAGGGGAAAATTCGAGCACGTTCCATTTTTTGGTGGTGTTACGAAAGATGAATTTGCCGGTGTTATCAAGGGTGAGAGATAATATTATCTCATTTCGTTATTGAAAAATGAGTCAAAATTTAATTTTTACTAGGAAATAAAAATTTTTGAATAAAATTTTTTCTCGAAAATAAAATTTTTTTGCTCCAAAGTACTTTGAATTAAAATTTTTCTCGAAAGTAAACATTTTTTAATATATTACAATTTTTTCTTGAAAATTTTTTAATTACATTTTTTCTCGAAAATAAATATTTTTGAATTAAATGTTTTCTTGAAAATAACATTTTTTTATCCAAAGTACTTTTTTGAATTAAAAATTGTTCTCGAAAATAATACTTTTTCAATTCAATTTTTTCTTGAAAATACAAATTTTTGAATAAAACTTTTGCTTGAAAATAAAAAATTTTGAATTACATTTTTTCTCGAAAATAAATATTTTTGAATTAAATGTTTTCTTGAAAATAAAATTTTTTGATCCAAAGTACTTTGAATTAAAGTTGTTCTTGAAAATAAAACTTTTTGAACTAAATTTTTTCTTAAAAATGAAAATTTTCGAACAAAAACTTTTCCTTGAAAATAAATATTTTTTAATAAAACATTTGCTCCAAAGTAGGTTTAAATTAAAGTTTTTTTCGAAAATAAAAATTTTTGAATTTAATTTTTTCTTGAAAATACAAATTTTTGCTCCAAAGTACTTTTTTAAAGTAAAATTGTTCTCGAAAATAAAACTTTTTGAATTAAATTTTTTCATGAAAATACAAATTTTTGAATAAAACTTTTGTTTAAAATTAAAAATTTTTGAATTACATTTCTTCTCGAAAATAAATGTTTTCTTGAAAATAAAATTTTGTGATCCAAAGTACTTTTTTGAATTAAAGTTGTTCTCGAAAATAAAACTTTTTGAATTAAATTTTTTCTTGAAAATAAATATTTTTTAATAAAACATTTGCTCCAAAGTAACTTTGAATTAAAGTTTTTCTCGAAAATAAAAATTTTTGAATTCAATTTTTTCTTGAAAATACAAATTTTTGAATAAAACATTTTCTTGAAAGTATAAATTTTTGAATTATATTTTTTTCCGAAAATAAATATTTTTGAATTAAACTCTTGCTTGAAAATACAAATTTTTGAATTAATCTTTTGCGTTGAAAATGAAAATGTTTGAAATTCAATTTTTGCTCGAAGATATATAAAATTTTTTTGAAAAAATTTTTAATATTTAAAAATATATTGTAAAAAATGTTTAATTCAAGTATAAAAGAATTTAATTGTTATATTAAAAGGAACGATTGAACGTGCCAGACAAGGAAATACTTCGACAATCGATGAGAGAAATGCCAATTGGGATGAAATATCACCCATTAGTTTTCTATATCAACGTGGTACACCGAGATCAAAATACATCAGTCACGAATTGAAGAAATTTTATCTCGACGATCAACCCGTCAGTCTTGACAATATTCTCGACCTGGGAAAAGTAGGAAATTTTATTATTATTATTATCTATAAATTTCAAATTATTGATAAATTTAAAAAAAAATAAAACTCAAAAACTTTAATAAATTATTTAGATTATACTATAAATTTAACTACTTAGAAAAATTAATTACTTTCTTTCTAAAAATCTAAATCAGTGAAATTAAAATTTAAATCAATTTAAATTTTTTTTTCTAGACGTATTAAATTTTAAGTTTTAAAACAGTAACTGGATTTTCTTTTGAATCAGTTAAAAATGAAAATTTACTAATTTTGTCAGTAAAAAGAATTTTCTCCTAATAAAGTAGCAGTAAATTTTATAAAAATTGTTTTGAAATTAAAAAGTCAGCTACTGCTTGAAATTTAGTTAAAATTTTAACTTCAAATTTAGAGAGTGTGTAAAATTTAATTATATAGAAAAAGTTAATTAATTACGTACAAAATATTTTGGTTTTTTAAAAAGTAAGAGTTCTTTTTGTTCTTATTATTGAAATTCGAAATAAATAAAAATTTCGTTTTAGATTTATGCCGATGCTGTGACTATATTTTCGCAACATCGTCTAGTAACTTTATTGGCAGCGGCGAACAAAAAACCAACATATTATTATAAACTTACTTATCAGGGTCGATACAGTCATGTGACGTGGGTCGACACTAAAAAACCTTTTGGTAATTTCAACAATTATTTTTTTACCAATTTATTTTTAATTATATTATTTTTAATAATTTATCTTCAATTATATTATTATTACGGAATAATTTCCAATAGGTTTTATTTAATAATTTATTTTCAATTATTCAATTTCTACTTATTTATTTTTAATCATTTATTTTTAGTTAAATTTTATTTTTTAATGATTTATTTTTTGTTATTTAATTTTTAATGATTTATTTTTAGTTATTTTATTTTTAATGATTTATGTTTAGTAATTTTATTTTGAATGATTTAATTTTAGTTATTTAATTTTGAATTATATAACTTTCCATAATGTTTTTTATTTTTTTTTTTTTATTCTAACTATAATGTATTTCCTTTTGCAGGTGTTGTTCATCATGACGAGTTAATTTATCTTTTTGGCATTGCACAATTTCCAGCAATTAAAGAAGGTGATCCGGAATTGGCAACTGTTGAAAAACTGACAGCAATTTGGGAAAATTTTGCAAAAACTGGTGAACCAATTCCCAAGGAAAATCATTTGTTCGGCAATGTCTCTTGGAATCCAATTACTCCAAGTCGTCCTTGCTATTTAGAAATGAATAGTGAATTTGTCATGAGGGATGGAATTATTTATCCTGAACGAATGAATTTTTGGGAGAAACTTTTCCCCCTTCGACCACTTTCAGTCAAAGGGTGAAATTAATTTTTTGAACTGCAGGAAAGTAATAAGTGAAAAATATGGGGCAGAAGTAGAATTGAGAGGAAGAAAAGGAGGAAAAAATAAAAAAAAGAGCAATAAAGAACAAAAAAAAATAAAGAAAGAAAAAAAGAAAATATTACGAAAAAAGGAAAGAAAAAAATAAGTAAAAAAAAGGAATAAATGAAGAAGAAAGAAAGCAAATAATGCAAGAAAAAAAGGAGAAAAAAAATGAAGAAAAATGGAAAAAAGAAAGTAAAAAGAAGAAAAGGAGAAAATAGAAAAATAAGAAAAGAAAAAATACAATACGAAATCTGACGATTTATGTTTAGTTCATAATTAGTTTTAGCGACACTAGCGCTCATGCGGACAAACTGTTACAACTCAGGTGAGAGATAATTTTGTGTTTTCTTTTCAAAAATTTTATATTACATTTCTATTATAAATAGGAAAAAAGGAAAGAAGAAAGGAAGAAAAAATAAAGAAAAAAAGAAGAAAAGAAGAATAAATAAAGAAGAGAGGAAGAAAGAAAATTGTAAAAAACATAGGAAAGAAAAAAAAGAAAGCAAAAAAAAGAAGAAAAAAAAAATAAAAAGGAAAAATTAAAATGAATGAACTGAAAAAAATTGAATAAAAATACCATTACTTTGTCATCTTAAAAACTATAATTTATTCGAAATGATTATAAAGAAGGTCTAGTTGAACTAATTATAATCTATTGAGTAGTAGTCTTATGGGCGGAATAAAAAAAATACGCAGATTTGTTCTTTAAATCTTTGGATCGATTGATTGTAATTTAACAAAATCCTCGCTAGCCTCCCAGAATTTTTTCCCCTTCGCTGGATCCGATACTCCTAAAGATAATGATGATTGCTGGAAAAATAATAATTATTATTAAAATTATAATTTTCTTAAAGAATAATATTTATTGTAAAAACATTAATTTTAAATGCAATCATTCATAGTATGATTTCAAACGAAAAAAATTTTTTCCAATTCCAATGTTTTCACCCAAAAAATTTCCACAGGAATTAATTTAATTTAGCATATAGCATTTTAAAAAAAATTTCGAAAAAATCAATTATTCAACAAAATTTTTAGACAATTCTCCATAATAATTTAATTATTTTTACTAATAATAACATTTTTCATGGAAATTCAATTTTAAAAAAAAAAATTTTTGATAAAATTCCTAGCAAGAATTTAATTATTTTCATAAATAATAAAATTCATCGCAGGATTTCAATTATTTTTAATATAATTTTACAGGAATTGCTACAAAAAATCAAAAATGTAATTATTCTGAATAATTTAATTTCAATTCCTCGAAAAAATCAATCATTTAATATTTAAAAAAATGTTTTTTAAATTTTTTGTAAGAATTCAATTATTTACAAAAATATTTGAATTTTTCACAGGAATTCAATTGTTTTTAAATTTTTATTTAAATTGTTTGAAAGAAATCAATTATTTTTAATAGAATTTTAATTATATTTTTTTGAAATAATTCAATTATTCTTTTAGGTTTTAATAAAATTCTTCCCAAGAATTCAATTATTTACATAAATAATTCTTCGAAAGAATTCAATTTTTAAAGATAAATAAGAAAATTTATTTTCCCAAAAATTCAATTATTTTGAGGCATTTTAACAAAATTCTTTGCAAAATTCAATTATTTTTATAAATAACAATATTGATCATAAGAATTCAATTATTTTGAAAGTAATAAATTTCTTCTTGAAAATTCAATTATTTTAAAAAATTCTAATAAAATCGTTTGCAAGAATTAAATTATTTTCATAAATAATAAAATGCTTTTTAGAAATTAAATTATTTTTATAAATATTTAAATTCTTTTCTGAAAAAGAAAATTCGTTGCAGGAATTCAATTTATTATAGCAGTCTAAAAAAGAAGTAAATATTTTTGATGAAAATTGGGAAACAGTCAGGAAAGTAAAATATAGAATGGAATTTTTGTCAGTTTTGTGAAGTGTCTAAAACGAATTTTTTTGGTCGTCAAGTTTAATTTTTGATAGCTATAGTTTTTTACTACTTTTTTTTAGTTTGAAAGCTACTTTTTTAAAATTAATTATCGAGTGCGAAGTCTGTTTTCGATATTTTTATCGTCTCAAATTTTTTTAGAGTCTTAGAATTAATTTTTCCTCTAGAAATTTTTACACTAAATTAACATTAAAATCTCGTTTTAAAAAATTAATTGGGGCCTTTTTTAATGAAACCAGCGTCATTAGTAACTTATTTAGAAAAATAGTGACAGAAAATAGAAGACAGAAAAAAATCAATAAAAAAAGTATCAATAGTCGCGTGAGTTTGAGACTTATTAGAAAAAAAATTGATTTTAACAAAAAGCAGATAAAAAATAAAAAATATAAAAATTTCTTACGTGACAATCGAGAAAATATTTTCCAGACACTTTAGCAACATCGTCCGACACTGCCAAGTGTATTGAGGTTTGAGCTCCTTGCTTTGGAGTTTTGAAGAATGATTTGATGATTAGTGCCAGTCCCCATGACAATGGAATTGGAACATTTCTCCAAATTCCACTGTCAATCATTCCTGGATGAAGACAATTGGCCGTCACACCGCTGCCCTCGAGACGTCTTGCCAATTCCAATGTAAAAACAATATTAGCGTACTTTGACACATAATACAAATAGCCAGGAAGTGTTGTCGTTGGATTCAAATTGTCCATATTTAATGTTGATATTCTATACAATTCCGAGGCAACAACTATTATTCGACTTGGAGCTGATTTCTTCAGTAAATCTTTAAACAAATTTTGGACATAAACATAACACATTAATGATTCCAGAAATTCAATTATTTTCAAAATTTTTTTAAAAATTCTCGTCAAAGTTTCAATTACATTTATAAATAATAAAATTCTTTTTCAAAATTCAATTATTTTTAAAAATTTTAATAAATTAATTCTTGTCAAAATTTTACAGGAATTCAATTATTTACGAAAATTTTTAATAAATTTCTTCGAAATAGTTAAATTATTATTTTCATAAGTATTAAAATTTTCACAGGAATTCAATTATTTAAAATACAAAAATTTCATAAAATTTTTCGAAAAATATATTAAGTATTAAAAAAGATTTGTATAAAATTGAAAATTCGTAGCAAGAATTCAATGATTTAAAAAAAAATTTAACAAAGTTATTTTCAAGAATTCAATTATTTTTATAAATAATAAAATTTTTTACCGAAATTCAATTATTTTTATAAACTTTAATCAAATTTGTTGCAAGAATTCAATTATTTATAGGTATAAATAATGAAATTCTTCACAGAAATTCAATTATTTTTATAAATTTGAATAAAATTCGTTGGAAGAATTTAATTAAATTCAAAAGTTACAAAATTCTTCTCCGAAATTCAATTATTTTGCGGCATTTTAATAAATTTTTTTGCAAAATTCAATTATTTTCATAAATAACAATATTCATTACAAGAATTCAATTATTCTTAATAGTAATAAATTTTTTCTTGGAAATTCAATTATTTTTAAAAAATTCTAATAAAATCGTTCGCAAGAATTCAATTATTTTCATAAATAATAAAATTTGTCACAGAAATTAAATTCTTTTTAAACATTTTAATAAAAATTTTGTAATAATTCAATAATTTTCATAAATAATAAAATTCTTCTCAGGAATTCAATTATTTTCATAAACTTTAATCAAATTTGTTGCAAGAATTCAATTATTTATATAGGTATAAATAATTGAAATTCTTCACAGAAATTCAATTATTTTTATAAATTTGAATAAAATTCGTTGGAAGAATTTAATTAAATTCAAAAGTTATAAAATTCTTCTCCAAAATTTAATTATTTTAGAAAAATTTTAATAAAATTCTTGGGATAATTTTAATTATTTTCATAAATAATAAAATTCATCGCAGGATTTTAATTATTTTTGATCTAATTTTTTTAATCAAATTCCTCGAGAAATATTATTATTCTTAAAAATTTGATTAAAATTTGTCAAAAGAATTCAATTATTTAAAAATTTGTTGATAAAATTCTTTATGAGTATTCAATTTTAACAAACATTTAATTATTCAATAAATTATTTATTTTTTAATTTAAATAATTGAATTCTAACATTTTAAATCATTTTTGTTCTTAAATATTTTCAATTTTAACAATAAGGTATTGAAAATCATTAAATTCTTGCAAAGAATTTTATTAAAAAATTTCAAGAGAATAATTGAATTCCTTCGAAGAATGTTATTATTTATAAAAATAATATTAAAATTTAATTAAAATTATTGATAGAAAATTAAAATCTTTTAAACCATTTTATTAGAGTTTTTGACAATAATTAAATTATTTTGAATAATTTTAATTGGAAATTTAGAAAATAATTGAACTTAACAAAGAGTTTAAAAATTTTTTTTTTAAATATTAGTGTCTGTTAATAATTATAATTAAATATTTGATTATTGCAGTTTATTAACATTGAAAAACTATATTGTTTATAAAAAATAATTTAATTCTTGCGATGAATTTTTCTCATACATTTACTAAAATAATATTTAAAATTTAAATTATGTAAGTAAATTATTAAATTATTTAAATAATATTTAAATATTTAATAAATATTTTCATAATATTTTACTCATAAAAAAAATTGAATATTGTTTCGAAGGAATTATGGAAATTTTTAGATAATAATTGGATTCTTTCAGAAAATTAAAAAAAAATTGAATTATTTCGAATGATTTATTACAATTTTAGTAAATAATTGAATTTTTTTAAAACTTTTATAATGAATTAAGAAAAAAATTGAATTCTTTCGTGAAATTTTATTGAAATTACTTAAATTTTTGCAAAAATTATTTTTAAAAATAATTGAATTGTTTCAATGAATTTATTAAAATTTTTAAAAAATAATTGAATTCTTTCGTGAAATTGTATCAAAATTTTGTTAAAAATAATTGAATTTTTGCGAAGAATTTTACTATTTATAAAAATAATTGAATTGTTTCGAATAATTTATTAAAAGTTCAGAAAATAATTGAATCTTTTTAAAAAATTTTGTAACGAATTAAGAAAAAAATAATTGAATTCTTGCGATGAATTTTGGTAAAATTTTTTGAAATAATTGTATTCCTGAGAAGAATTTTACTATTTATAAAAATAATTGAATTCTTTCAAAGAATGTTATGTTATGTATTTAATAAGTGAATTTTTCAAATTTTAATTATAAAACTAAAAATTATCATTTCAATCAATAATTGAAAATAATAATTATTATTACTTAAATTAAAATTGTAAACTATAATTATAATCAGTAAAATAAGATTTCACTGCAGTTATTTATACAAAAAAATAAAAAAAAAAAATGTAAATGCTAATAACTTTTTTGGACTCGTACCAATCAGAAGATGGGTCAAAAGAAATGGTCCATAGTGATTAGTAGCCATTGTCATTTCTAGGCCATCATCGGTGACTTTTTTTCTGAATGTCTCAGCCGTTCCTGCATTATGAATTAAAACGTGTAAACTTTTTTCCTCCTTATTTATTTGCTTGGCAAATTCTCGCACCGATTGAAGAGACGATAAATCCAATTTACGAACAACTATATTCTCATTATCCGTCTCCTTTACTAATTCATCTGTAAAGAAATTATAATTATTTTTATAATTTTTTTTTTATATCTTATAACTTTCTTTTGTATTGTAATTATCGTTTCAAGAGAAGACGATTAAATGTATTCTTGAAATGCGGTTAATTATAGTTCAATAAAATTGTAATCAACTGTTGGGAAATATTCAAATGGGAAGTGTATATTGATTATTGTCTTTAGAATACAAAGCGCGACTTGTGGAAATATTTGTGAAATTGTGGAATTAATTTGCAATAGAAAATTATTAGAGTAGTGCTTTTTTAATTCTTTGCTTATTTTCTTTTTCAGCGAAAATTTATTTGACACATTGTATTAAAATTAAAATTTTAATTTTTTTAATTTGTTTTATTTAATTTAAATAAAACAAATTAAATCAGATAAAATTATTATACAGGAAAAAAGTTAAAATTTTGTCTGGAAATCAGGGAAAAATAAAATAAAATTTAATTAAATCATAAAAATAAATAATTTTTTTGAGAATTAATTTTTCTGCTCATCGCTATTATTAGAATAGGAAATAAATTGATATAAAAATAATCTCGTGATTTAATAAGTGATTTTTGAGAAAGCATACATACATTAGATAATAGAAAGCAGTATGGATGCGTTTGCAAAGAATTTTCTCGCCAGATTGTACGGTTACAATTGGTTGGTTAAGTGGCAAAGTATAATGAGTTCTTCTTACAATATCCTATATCTGTATATTTTTATTTATACATAATTGGAAATAATGTGCAAAATACCTTTTAATTCGGTGGCATTCTTAACATTTCTGCACGCCATAATAACACGAGCACCACGCTTAGCAAGATCTCTGGCTGTTTCTTTACCAATTCCAGAAGTGCAGCCAGTTATTATAACAGTTTTTCCATTCATTTTATTTTTACTTTTGCAAACTCCCAAACTAAAGTACAAATACAATTTTATTGCCGAGATGAATAAAAATGCACCGCCGAAAATTACAGCTGCTGCCAAATAACAGAGGGTTGAGCAAGATATAATGCTCAAATTCATCATCTGGAAAAAAATTATTTTTTTTTTTTTTGACAAATAATAATTTATATTGAATACTTTACAGGGTTGGCACAAGTCAGGGAAATTAGAATTGATCAGGGAAATCAGGGAAAAGTCAGGGATTTTTATTAAAAGTACTGGAAAAAATTTAATTTTTAGAATTTATAAGAAAATTCTGAATTTTGGTGAATTTTTTGTTTACCTCATAAACTATGAAATTGCCAAGAATTCTAATACAAAACCCTTCAATTTTTTCTATTTCTAACAATAATTTCTTTTTAAATAACTTAATTATTCAAGAAATATCATAAAATTATTACTTAGAAATTATTTAATTAATAATTTTACTTAAAATTTTCAAAATTAATTCGATTTTAAAAAAAAGTTGCGTTTAAAATGTTCATAAATAGATGAATTTCAAAGGTTTCATTATGAAATTTTTAATGAATTTAAATAGAAATTTTAAGAACAACTGATTACAGAAATTCAATTATTTTCAAAAGTGATGAACTTCTTAGCATAAATTCAATTATATTCAAAAATTTATAAAAATTCTCGTCAAAATTTCAATTATTTTTATAAATAATAAAATTCTTCTTCAAAATTCAATTATTTTCAAAAAATTTAATAAAATTCTTGGCAAAATTTCAATTATTTTTAAAAATTATCCTCATTTCAATTATTTTTAATATCTACTATTTTAATTAAATTTTCCAAAAGAATTCAAATATTTAAACAAAATGTTAAAAAAATTTCACAGGAATTCAATTACTTATCAATTTTTTATCAATTTCTTTGCACCAATTCAATTATTTTTAACTTTAATCAAGTTTCTCGAAAGAATTCAAATATATATTCAGAGAATTGAAAAAAATAGTTCTGAAAAATTCAATTATTTCGAAAAATTTAAATAAAATTCTTTTAAAAATTCTATTATTTAAAAAAATTTTAACAAAATTCTTTACAAGATTTAGTTAATAAAATTGCAATTTTAATAAAATTTCCCTATTCAATTCAATTATTTTTAATACAATTCTTCGAAAGAATTCAATTATTTTTATAAATAATAAAATTTTTCTCGAGAATTCAATTATTTTAAAAAATTTTGATAAAATGCTTTATAAATTTAAAAAATTATAATAAAATTGATCATAGAATACAATTATTTTCGTAAAATATAACATTCTTCCTAGGAATACAATTATTGTCAAAAATATTCCTAAAATTCTTCGAAACAATTCAATTATTTTCGTAAAAAATAAAATTCTTTAAAGCAATTCAATTATTTAAGAAATTTTAATAAAATTCTTTTCAAGAATTCAATTCTTTTCAAAAATAAACATGTTCACAGGAATTTAATTATTTAAAAAAAAATTTAATAAAATTCTTCGTCAGATTTCAATTATTTTCAATTTTTTAATGAAATTTCTCAATAGAATTTAATTATTTTCAAAAAGTTTAAAAAAATTCTGAGAAATTCAATTATTTAAAAAAAATTTTGAATAAAATTCTTCACAAGAAATTAATTAATATTATAAATAATAATATTTTTCTCCGGATTTCAATTATTTTTATAAATAAAATTCTTCACAGGAATTCAATTCTTCAAAAAATTTGTTAATAAAATTCGTTGCAAGAATGAAATTATTTTTATAAATAACAAAACTTATCGCAGAATTTCAATTATTTTTTTATAAAATTTTTAATAAAATGATAGAAAATTGCATTTATTCTTAAAATGTTTTTAAAATTCGCCCAAAGAATTCAATTATTTTAAAATTTTTTTATAAATTTCTTTATAAAAATCCAATTTTAAGAAATATTCAATTATTTAATAAATTATTTATTTTTGTATTTAAATAATTGAATTCTCGAGACATTTTTTAATAAAAATTGATGAATATATGAATTTCACTTAAAATTTTAAATTATAATTGAATATTAAAAGCATTACAGCATGAATTTTTAGAAATAATTGAATTTTGAAAAGGGTTCAAATTAAAATTTTTGAAAATTTGAATTTATAGTTACAATATTCTTATGATATAAAATAATGATTTTATTACTCTGTCATCTTAAATTTATTATAAGTTTCAGAAGGTTTGAATTTGAAAATCTTAATTCCTATAGAAAAATAATAATGATTAAGTATTTATTTGAAAAAGAAGTTATTGATGTTCTCGAATAATTTTACACTTAAAGAAATTCGTAAATAAATGTACTATTAAAATAAAAATAAAAATAAAATTAAAATTAAAATAATTTTTAAAATATTAAAAACAAATATTTGAAATACGGAAAATATAGGATGACTTAACTTTTCTAATTAAATTGAACAACGGTATAATATATTTAATCATAGATTGAATTTTATTAGAAATTTGAAGTCGTCTCATTTATTTTATCATTGAATCTCATAAGAAATAGAAATTCTTTCCAAAATAATGTCGTTGAAATACTATTTTTACACTTTTATCGTTTTTATACTTTTTTAATTGCGTGCATATTTTCCAATAAATTTATTCATTTTCCTAACGAATCTTTGCAGTTATTACTTTTGTATAACGATTACACACTCTTTTTTCTTCTCTTTTGACAATTATTTTTCTTTATTTGTCCATGCAGGATGAGCAATTTTGTTGCAAACCCCATTAAGGAAAAACCGGTTTTCAACTTCTTATAACAAATGAAATATAGCGGGAAAGAAAAAAAAATATTAATCTACCATATACAGGATTCATTGAATGCAAATAGTTTATTTTTTTTTCGAATATTATTTATATTCGTGTCATCAAAAAATGTGTAAAATTTTAAATATGTAAATAAATATGCAAAAAAAAATACTTAATAATTTAAATTAGTGACTGATTCTTTGCTTTCGAATCAGTAAATTTTACTAATATGTAAATAGCAGTATCTGCTAATTTATTTGTAAAATTTACTAATTCAAAAGCAAAAACTCAGTCACTAATTTAAATTTAGTAAACATTTTTAGTTTTTACTAATTTAAATTTAGAGAGTAAATTTTTATTATTTGGACTTGTTGAGTAGCTACACGGAGAAAAAGGAGAAAAAGGAACAATAAGTATATATACTTATTGTTTATTAATATTATTGTTATTATTAATATTATTTATTAATATTATTATTATTAATATTATTTATTAACATTATTAATATTACTTATTAATTAATATTAATTTACAGTGTAATTTTTAATTGTTTTCCGTTAAATGACATTTTTAATTTCATTTTATTATTATTATTTGAAATATTAATTGAATTATTACTTGAATTATTAATTAATCTCATAAATTTAAGTAATAAATGTAAAATTTGATAAATCAAAAAGTAAATAATAATAACAAACAAAATATGTTAATTTAATTAATTACTTGAATCAGTTGATTAGTTGAATCCCTAATTTATTTTTTTGTAAAATTAGCAATTTATTGGTTCAATTATTAGCTGAATTATTAATATTTTTAGTTTTAATTAATTATTTTATTTAAAATTTGGAATTAAATTTAATTTTTCAATTTAAAAATTAGAAAGCAAAAGTTTTTTAATTTTTTATAAATTAAAATTATTTTATGATTAATTGTATTATTTATTGCTAATTATTAATTGAATTATTAATTAAATTGTTAGTTGAATTACTTTACTAATTTATTTATTAAATTACAAATTTAATCTCTTTAAATCTGAATTAGTAAAAATGTTTTCTAATTTGAATTAGGGTCTGACTTTTTGCTTTTGAATTAGTAAAATTTACTAATGAATTTGTAATAATTATAATTTTTACAAATTTCTACTAATTTATTTGTAAAATTTAGTTAATTAAAAAAATTTAGTTAATTTAGTTAATTTATTTAATTTATTTAATTAATAAAATTTACAAATTCGAAAGCAAAAAGTCAGTCAAATTTCGAGAGATTATTAATTTAATAATTATAATTTTTTAAAAATTAAATTATTAAAATATTAAAAACCTTTTTTTTAATTTTTAAATTGAAAAAATTCAATTGAATTATTAATGAAATTTGTTTCTTAATAATTACAATGTTTTTAATAAATTGAAAAAAATGAAATGAAATGAAATAAAATAATAAAAAAGTTAATTGCGTTAGAATTGTAATGAGTAAAATTTGAAAGTTACTTACTTTAAAATATTAAGAAATATCTTGTCTCTCATGAGTGTCCGAATTAAACTAAACTTTTGTAGCTGTGTAGCTGCATCGGCACTGGACTCTACTTACGGTACCTACCTGTCAAGCAACAGGTATTCCCCTCCAAACAATATTACAACAAGTTCACTGAATTCACCTTGAAGTTGGTGTGGCAGATTCCTGTATTAAAATAATTCAAACTTTGCAAATGATTTAAGAAAGTTGAATTTCGATATCAAAGTTCAAAGATTTAGAAAATTTAGAAATTGTTCAACGATCTACTTTCAAAAATTATTCGTTCGTTTATTTTCAAAAAAGAAAAAAAGTGAAAGTAATCTTATCTATGAAGTTAAATTTTGATTTTAATTGTACAATTACGATTACAATTTTGAATTTTAATTTGAAACTTCGCTGAAAAAAATTTATTTGATTCAAATAAATTATTACTAGCTTATTGTAGAATAAATATTTTTGTATTAAATAATTTTTATTTAGTCAATTAAATGGTATTTGTTTCAAGTCCTGAAATTTTTGGTTCAAATAGGTACAATTTATTTGATTTAAATAAAAATAAATTAAAATTGCTTGAATCAAGGAAATATTTATTTAATAATGGTAAATTTAAGTATAGTAAATTATTTGAATCAAAATATAATTTTTTTAGTATTTTACCCAAATTTCGGTGTAATTATATTAAATTAATAAATTAAATTATCTAATTAAACTTTGTAATAATATAATATTTATAATTAGTAATTTATTAATTTAACAATAATTTGACTATTCTAAATAATTTAACAATATTACATCAATAATTATTTAATCCTTTTGACGAACCAAATATATTCATCAGCTTTTGAAAAAAAAAATAAAATTTTTTTGAGGTTTTAACTGAATAACTGAAAATTAGAAAGTAATTTTTATTGTTTTTGAGAGAAAAAAGGATAACATTATTAGGCGGACTACAAACGTTTTTGTGTTGGTTCAAATAAAAGGAAAGGCCATTAAGATGCTGGTGGCCAGTTCAATGAACCTTGCGTGTCCTTTTTTCAATACAAATCTTCACCAACTCTACTTTTGTCGCAGAGTCGATGCTCTTTGGTTCCTGGTTGCGATAAATTTACAAAATTTGTAAAATATTTTTTGTAAACTAATATGTTTAATTTAAATTGTTACTATTTATTGTTAGTATAGTTTATTTACATTATCATTAATTTCACTGTCACTTGATGAAATTTTCTCCTTTTTTCACAAGCGATTTATTTTGTTTCTTATTTCTCTTCTTCTCTTCTTTTTGTTATTTTTCTATTTTCCAAGTATGAAATTAAATTTAATTAATTAATTTTATTTTCATTAGCTTTATTTCCGAAATTATAATTTTAGAAAATTTTCTTTTAGAAAAAAAAAAATTTCTAAATCTGGGCAATGTTAAATTAATCTCTCTTCTGGTTTTAGGCCTACAAGATCACAGCATTTATTCCAAAGTTTTACTCTATCTTCGTCACTATAGGGACGATTCAAAAAATTCATTTCCTGAAAAGAAATAAATAAATATAATTGAATTCTAGTTTTCTTGAAAATATCCAATTGGTATACCAAAGTGGATCAAATTGTCTCTAATAATTTTAAACTTATTTATGAGAAAATGTAGGAAATTCTTTGAAAATAATTTTCAAAAATACCTTGCAATCGACGAAATACTTTCCGGATACTTTTGATCCTTCATCGCTAACTGCTACATGAATGGATGTCTGCGCCCCTTCTTCTGGTGTCTATAAAATTACTATTTTTTACTTAATTACTACATTATGATATTTTTCGTTTTAAAAAAATAATTTTTTTTTCTCAAAATTTTTACCTTGAAAACAAAGAGTCCCAAGAAGTAAATTAGAATTCTGCCCGTAAATTGAATTGGTTGGAAAATATTTGTATCCACAGCACCAGGATAGACAGAATTTGATGTAACTCCTTTAAACAAAAACGAAAATATTGAAAAAAATATAAAATTAGCTAAAAGTTATATTTTTATTTATTTGTATATCAAAAGTTGGACTTTAGTTTCTGTTTATCTATATTAATAATATTGTTGTATTCCGGTACTCTATTCGCAGTTTGAAATTAGTTGCTGTTTGCTTTTTTGTTTCCTAAATTTTTAAATAATTTTTTTCTTTAAAATGTTTTCAATTTTAAGAATTAATGTACTGAATATCATTGAATTCTTGTAAAGTATTTTTATAAAAATATTTTAAAATAATTGTAATTTATGAAGAATTAAATTATTTTCAATAATTGTAACAAAAATTCCATAGGCAATTTATAAATATGACAAATCTTCGTAAAAAATTCAATTATTTTTTATATAAATAATAAAATTCTTATCAGGATTTCATATATTTTCAATACAATTTTAATTAATTTCTTCAAAAATTTCAATTATTTTTTTAAAATATTGTGAAAATTCTCCGAGAAAATCCGATTATTTAAAAAAATAATTGAATTTTTCACATGAGTTCAGTTATTTAAACAACTTTTAATAAAATCCAAGTCAAGAATTAATTTATTTTTAAAAATAATGAAATTTTCGCTAGAATTCAGTTATTTTAAAATTTAAATACAATTTTAATATTATAAAATTCTTCTCAATATTTTACAAAAAGTCAATTATTTGTAGAAATAATGTATATTTTTCGTCAGGGATTCAATTATTTAAAAAAATTAAATTCTATTAAAATTAATTAAATTCTATTTAAGAAATTAAGTATTTTCAGAAATAATTAAATTGTCAATTTACTGAAAATCATTGAATTCTTGTAAAGTATTTATAAAAAAATTTGAAAATAAATTGAATTCATTTCAAGAATTTTATCAACATTTTTTCAATAATTGAATTCTTTCGAGAAAATGTAATTAAAATTTGTATTGAAAATAATTTAATTCATGACAAGAATTTTATTAAAATTCTTTATTTAAGGGCATTTGAACCTTGATGACGTCATACATGCTTTGCACAAAGTGTAACGTCATCAAGGTTCAAATGCCCTTAAAATAATTGAATTGTTTCGAAGAATTTATTTCAATTTTCTTGAAAATATGAAAGTTTTCTTTAATAATTTTTATTGAAAATTTTGAAAATAATTAAATTTTAAGAAGAATTTCTTTTAAGTTCTTAAAATAATCGTGATTATTATTAATTGTAATTAACGATTTTCCTATTAAATTATGTTAAAATTATTCATAGAAAATTAAACAATTTTATTAGAGTTTTTGTAAATAATTATTTTTTTTTAAAGAATTTATTAAATTTCATAAAAATAATGTAATTTTTAAATGTAATTTTAATTGAAAATTTTAAAAATAATTTAAATTTACAAAGAGTTTTATTAAAAACTTTTGAGAACAATAATTGAATTGATTAGAAAAATTGTATTACAATTTTTAAAAATAATTGAACCTGTTAGAGAAATTTTATTAAAATTACCTTGAATATAATTGAATTTTTTCCTGGAAATTTAATTATAAATTGAATTGAAAATAATTGAATTTCTCAGAAGAATTTTATTATTTACAAAAATAATTAAATTCTTGCCAAGAATTTTACAATTTATAAAAATAATTGAATTGTTTCAAAGAATTTTTTATCAGAATTGTTGAAAATAATTGAATTTTTTTTAAAACTCTTGAAAATAATTGAATTTAAATAATATTTCTTAAAATTCTTTCGAGAAATTTTATTAAAATTGTATTAAAAATAATTGAATTTAAATAATATTTCTGAAAATTCTTTCGAGAAATTTTATTAAAATTGTATTAAAAATAATTGAAATCCTCCGAAACATTTTATTATTTATGAAAATATTTTAATTCTTGCGAAGAATTTTCTTATTTATGCGAAAATAATAATTGAAATTCTTGCGGAGAATTTTACAATTCATAAAAATAATTGAATTGTTTCGAAGAATTTTATCTGAATTTTTTGAATGAATTTTATTAAGAATTTTGAAAATAATGATTTTTTAAAAAGATTTTTATTAAAATTGTTGAAAATAATTGAATTTATATTAAAATTCTTGAAAATAATCGAATTTAATTAATATTTTTCAAAATAATTATACTCTTTCGAGAAACTTTATTAAAATTCTATTGAAAATAATTAAATTATTCTAAAGAATTTTATTATTCATGAAGATAATGAAATTCTTGTGACAAATTTTATTATAATTTTTGAATAATAATAAAAAAATATATTTAATACTATGAACTTAATAAGTAAATTTTTAAAATCTAAAATTTGTAATCATTCAAAAATTGATGTTTATTCTTAAAAATATAAAATTTTTTTATTTGCAAAATTAATAATATATAAGAAGTTACATTAATAATTCATAGTTTTTCTAAGAATATCAATTTAGTATCCTTATAAAAACTGTGAAAAAAGAAGTAATGATACAAGTTTGTAGAAGTAGAAAGATCTTTTTTTTCTAAAAAATTAAAAAAAAAATTTAATTTATGCTTTTATAGTAAAAGTAATTTTATATTTTTTTCCGAGTAAAAAAAATAGTTATAAATTATCGTTACCTGTGCCTTTTAAACGTTTTGCAAATTCATTACTACACAAGACATTGTACAATTTGCTGTCACTATAAAGTAAAAGCATATTATTTCCCTTTTCAGAATTCATATTATTAAAATCTAATCTTCCCAATAAATGTAATATAGATGCGACGTGAACAATTCGACTAGGTGTTGATTTCTTTAATAAATCTGTGAATTAAACAATTTTAAATTTACTTTAATTTATTAAAATTATAATTCTGTAAAAAATATGTAAAAATTTAATAATGTACTAACAATATTAGTATAATTAAATTTTTATATTTATTATTTATTTATTATACATAGTTCCTGCCTTTCGGCTTTGAACGAACTTCCGGCATTCTCCAATTAAATTTTCATATTTAGGGGAGACCGGGGCGTAATGGCTAAGGGGCGTAATGAATAATCGTAATTTGTTTAAAAACCGTAAATTGTAATAATTTCGCACAATAGACAAGTTATTGTACTTGGTATACTGCAAGTTTGTCAGGAGTTTCATTAATATTTATTCATTATTGTAAGAAATATAGTAGAAAAACTATTTTTGACATACGAAAGTAACTTTTCAAAATTTTCGTTTTTTCGTTCTATTTTTTTCAAAAATAGCTTTAAAAAAAAAACTGAAATGAGGTTTCGATCTTGACACGTTTGTTTTTAAGGGACAATTCGAGATTTTTGATTCACACTTCCGGTATTGTTAAAGAAAAGCCAAATATTTGCCGAGTACCCCCGGGGCGTAATGGCTAGTTTTTCCCGGGGCGTGTTGGCTAATGCAATACGCTATGTATAAAAAGCAACCTACCATATTGGCGAAGTGTAGGTTTGTTTTCGCGGTTACTTGTCACTTAGTTTAAATATGTTTAGGTGTTTTTAACAAAATTTAAAAGTTTTGGTCTAAAATTTACAAATAGTAGATTTCAAGCTACGATTTTAATGAGAAATTACAAAAAAAATTGAGAGAGTGCCAATATCACAGAATATTATTGAAAAAGCGATAGTTGAAGTATTGCTGAATAAAAATAGCATTCACGGAATACCCAGGAACCTTAATTTACAATATGCAATAAGATTGGAAACTGTAGATAATAATTAGCAATCATTATTCATTACGCCCCGGGAGTTATCCATTACGCCCCGGCTCGGGCCGTATTTTGGAGCTCTGCATTGCTCCAGAAAAACTGTTGTAGAATAAAAAGTAAGAGTCATATCGGGACGTTTGTAGTCTTAAAAGAAAGCTGAGATACCAGAGTAACTTTTCTGGAAGATAAACATTCAATTAGAACAAAACTGTCCGAGTAAAACAACAAAGAGTGAAAAGTTAGCCATTACGCCCCGGTCTCCCCTACTTAACAGAATTTTTAGGTAATCAAATTATTAGGTACTTAATACAATTTTATTCAAAATCCATCAGATATTCCGTACGGAATTTTGCAAAAAAAAAACAAAAAAAAAACATACAACTAAAAAAATTATACACCTACAATTGTTAATTAATAAATTAAAATTTAAAAACAAGTGAACTGAAAAAATGAACAATGTCCTATAAAAAGAAAATTTTCTTTCTTGAAAAGAATTGTAATTTAAAAATTAAAATTGAAATGAATGCATACCGATTAATAAATTTGTCAGCAAAAAATGTCCATAGTGATTTACTTGCATTCCAATTTCCAAGCCATCTTTAGTTTTTTTATTTGACGATGAAGCAATACCTGCATTATTGATAAGAATATCCAATCGTTTTTCTTTTGCAATAATATTTTTGGCAAATTTTCTCACGCTCTCAAATGAACCCAAATCCAGAAAATGTGCCTCAATATTTTTATTACCAGATATTTCTATTATTTCATCTGTCAACATTTTCGTATATATATAATTAAAAATAATTCACGAAATAAATATTAATGTTTTAAATCAACATTTAGTTTATTATTTAAATTATTCCTTAATTTTTCTTTTAAATTTCATACCTTTCGCTTCATTTGCTTCAGTTATATCATTACAGGCTATGATAATTTTTGCTCCTCTTCGCGCAAGATCTAATGCAGTACATTTGCCAATTCCTAAAAAATAAAACATATAATAAAATATTAAGTGATTAAAATTTAAACCAAAAATTATTTGATTCAAGTAAATATTTATTTGATAATAATAGACAAGTAATCTTCTATTTCAATAAAATAAATTTTCTAACCCCTTTAGTTGGTTATTTGGATCAAATTTATTTTTTAATGATTTTTAGCTTCAAAAAGAAAAATTAATAACCAGTTCAATTGTTTTAAATTTTGTTCAGTTACCTCTGCTTGATCCAGTAATAATTACGACTTGACCGTCTAATCTTTTATTTGTCGAACATTTTCCTTTCGTTAAAGTATTGAATATTTTTAATACTATCAGAAATAAGAAAGTGTAGAAAATAAAGGCGAAAATTTGACAATATGTATTATTCTGAAACAAGAAAATATAAACTCTTTGTATCAAGAATATAATATAAATTATATTCATCAGTTTGAAAAAATGTTGCAAAAAATGTACATTATTACAACAGCAATAATTGTACCAACAATATTATAACAACAATAATTGTACCAACAATATTGTATAATAAAAATAATATTGTAATAAAAATATTGTAACAACAATAATGTTGTAGTAACAATATTATAACAACAATAATTTTACCAATAATATTGTACTAACAATATTACAACAACAACAACGATTGTACCAACAATATTACAAAAACAATAATTGTACTAACAATATTGTATAATTAAAATAATATTGTAATAAAAATATTGTAACAACAATATAATGTTGTAGTAACAATATTATAACAACAATAATTTTACCAATAATATTGTACTAACAATATTACAACAACAACAACGATTGTACCAACAATATTATAAAAACAATAATTGTACCAACAATATTGTATAATAAAAATAATATTGTAATAAAAATATTGTAACAACAATAATGTTGTAGTAACAATATTATAACAACAATAATTTTACCAATAATATTGTACTAACAATATTACAACAACAACAACGATTGTACCAACAATATTATAACAACAATAATTGTATCAACAGTATTGTATAATAATAATAATAATAATATTGTACTAAAAATATTGTAACAACAATAATGTTGTACTAACAATATTTTAACAACAATAATATCAGGTGTTTAAATGAATAAATAAAATGCAATAACAATATTGTAAAAACAATAAATTTTTTAAAGTAACAAAAAATTTTGTAACAAGCATGAAATTACTTTTATAATAAAATTATAGAAAAAATTCAATTAATTTAAAAAAAAATTAGAAAAAAATGGAAAAATTTTAAAGAAAGAGAACTGAAAATAAATTAAAGTATTTTGTCTTATTAAAATAAAACCTAATAACAACAAATAATTTTTTTTTAATTTACCTCCATAATAATTATTTCTAGTTGCAAACAAAGAAGAGACTTGAGTACTTGACTTTTAATATAGATCACTGACACTTTTTTTGTTAGGAAAACTTAATTATTTTTATTGAATATTTGTATGAAAGAAACTGTCAAGAAAGAATATATAGAAGCAAATGCAACATGTTACTGTTACGGAAATTTATTTAAACTATCTGAAGAAGCAACGTAATTCAATTTACTTTCGCTAAATAGGGAAGTTTCTCTGATCACAGCAGTAGAGTATTTGAGAATTGCACATCAGTCTGACGCATATTATATAAGGCGCGATCTATCATTTATATCCTTATGATAATTATTAGAATGTCTCATTTTTCAAATAAGAATAATAAGTAATTTTTTAGCAACATTGTATTGATGTTTTTTTTATTTAGAGAACATTGAATATCAAGTTATAAAATTTTATGATTGAGGAAAGAAAATAATGTCAAAATTGAATAATAATTATCTTTAATTAATATATCATATGCTTTTTGTTAAAATTTGTTAGAAACGTTTTTTTTAATTATTTTATGCATAATTGAAAGTTCATTAATAATAAATCTGTTTCATTTCAATAATAAAAAAAATCTATTTCTTTATTAGTTTAGTATTTAAAAGTTTTTTTTTGCTTTAAATATATTTATTAATATTAAAAATTGTTTTGTTTCAGATTAATGATAATAAAAATATTTCAAATTCGTGTAACTAATATAAGTTCGAAAAATTACAAATTTTAATAAAAAAAAAACGATGTTTCTTTTATTATTTAATACAATGTAAAATAATTACAACTTTGACTTTAACTCTTTTGTTAAGTCACTTAAAGAAAAAGCATGAGTAATTATTTAGTGAAAAAGGTTAAAAGTTGGAATTAATTTTTAATTTTACAACTTTTTTTATAATCTGACAAAAAAGTAATTTTAGGGCATAAAGTGTTGTCCGTTCGTTTATTATTTTTGCATATTTGCTGTATTTTTTGGGTTTATTGCAAAAATATTTTTATTATTTTTACAATTATTACATATTATTTAAATTACAAAATGCGCGAGAAAGTTTATAAATTTAAAAAAAAAAAATTTAATTTTCCAAATTTTGTATAAAAATTAGTTTTTATTGTTCAATTTGTATAAAAAATTACATATTTAATTGAAAAATTTGCGTCTGTTTAAATAATTTTTTCTAAAGGAAGAAGTAGAATTAAAAATAACAGTTTGAAATTAGAAATTAGAAGTAGAATTAAAAGTTGAACTAGAATTTGAATTTCAAATGAAAAATTGAAACTGAAATTTAATTAACTATAATTAGAAGTAGAATTAAATTTTAATTAAATTTTAATTAAATTAAACTAAAATTAGAATTATAAGTAGAAGTAGAATTAGAGTTTCATGTGAAAAATTGGAATTAGAATTAGAATCAGAATTAAATTGATTTCAATTTAATTCATTTAAATTGAAATTAGAACTAAATTGAATTAAATTTAAATTTAAATTATAATTATAAGTAAAAAATAGAATTAAAATTTCATGTGAAAAATTGAAATTAGAATTAAATTGAATTAAATAAAATTGAAATTAGAATCAGAATTAAATTTAAAATTTAATTTCATTGATAATGAAATTAAAATTAGAATGAAAAGTAGAAGTAGATATAGAATTTTTTTTATTAAATATGGATAATCGATTATAAAAAGAAAGTCGATTATATAAATTTTTTTCTATTTTCTATTTTGTATTTCGCATATTCGTAATATGTGTATACAAAAGAGAATAGGTAAAACGCAAGCGCAAAAAGTTGCGCGCGTTTCTTTTCGTGTGAAAATTGATTCTACGTGAATTTTTGGTTCATAGATTCATTCAAGTAGAGCATAACATAGTTTGAAGTTATTGCACTTTTTTTTGTTTTATACAAAAAAGCATGTCTCTCTGTAAAATTTCAAATTTTTACATTTGTTTTTAATAAGTAGCAAATCGTCATGCGAATAGTATTTGTAATGAAATTTCGTCGACGCGAAATTAAGAAATTTTATTAGTACATTTTTTCTATTATAATCAAATTAAGTTTACACCAATGGAATTCCAAGTTTTATTACTGGTCCACATTATAGGTATGTTGTTCTTTTTGCTAAAAATTCTTCAATAATTTCTATATGGAAATTTTTTTTATATTATATTCTTATTTTTAATATTTATTTACGAGTGTTTATATTTATATAATATGTTTATATTTATAAAACAAGGCGAATAAAACGAAAACATTCGGACAATGATTAAAATTTATTTACTCCAACGTTTCGAAATCATTCAGTTTTAAATTTAAGTTTGCAGTTTGCAATGTTTTTACTTTGCACTTACCTTGACAAATTATTTTAATTTTATTGTAAACTGTTATTTATTTACTGTTTCTATTCAAAGACGGATTATTTATTTATGATTCTACTCCCGTGTGTACTAAATAAAAAATTTTGTCTTTATTTGACTTATTAATTTCTGATTTCCTGAAGAGGAAATTATTTAGATTTCGAAACGTTGGAGTAAATATATTTTAATCATTGTCCGAATGTTTTCGTTTTATTTACCTTGTTTTATCAAAAATCCCCGACGTTAAAGATTAAGTAACTAATGTTTATTTATAATAATTATTTTCGTGCTTTTTCGGAATTTTTCTCTCAATTTCTCTCAAATCTTCTTATTTGAATATTATCACTTTTGATCCAATTTAAGAAACTGTTTTTGCTTTTCCCAGACCACTCCTTTTTGCGAATATGTAAATTTTGCCAGAAATCCGCAAAAATTATTTTGTTTTGAAACTGAAAGAAAATTTTAAGTTTTTTTTATTTTATTTTTAATTTTAACTCAAATAGTTTTATTGAATATGTGAAACTAATAATTTTTTTGAATTAAAATATTAATTATTTTAACAATAATGTTTACATACATAATTGTTAATTCAACTTTTCTATGGAGAACAAAATATTTTTCGATGCAAATTATGAATTTCAACAACTTGTTATTTCTAAACATTTTTTTTTTTTGTTTATCAGAAAAAGCTTTATAATATTTATAAACGCTCAATAATTTTTAAAAGAAAAATTTGTAAAATAACAACAATTTATTGTAAATAATTCGTTTTGTGAATAATTCTAGAAAAACTTAAAATATTAAAAATTTAAAAAATTTTAAAAATATTAAAATTATTAAGAAAAAAATTTTATTTGTGGAACATATTTTTTTTAATTGTTGTTTACGAGTGTCGTGAATTTTATCGATGTTTATTTATTTATTTATTTTTGATTTTGACTTTGTGACGATTAAAAGTCTTCAAGACTTTTTAATTAGTTTAGTATTAACTATAAAATTATCAATTAGTATTTAGTAGTAAATATGAGCGCAAAATAAGTTTTTTGTGAAAATTTTGTTGAAAGAACTGTAAAAAAGAAATTGAATAACGAAGAATAAAAAGTTTTCAATTTTTCGTCATTGATCGGGAATATGAAAACAGACAAGCTCTAAATTCTCTGAGTCATCTCGAGGGATGACAAGCGATAAGGGGATGGTCCATCAGAATAAGTATATATACATTATTGTATTACAAAGAAAACTTTTGCTCAAAACTCTTTCCGATGTGGGGGATTCCTAAACAAATATAGTTTTTTTTCATCTGCAAATATCCTTATTAATAAAATCAGATGTCTGTCTGTACATTGCTTAAAACTTCAAAATGTTAACATGATTAGTTATTATGGACATCAGAGATTCCAAAAATGTTCTTAAAAAATTTAATGTATGTATGTATGTATGTATGTATGTATGTATGTATGTATGTATGTTTGTCTGTCACAAAAACTTTGTACCCCAATCACACAAAAACATGTGAATCGATTTAAGTCCAACTTGGTAGGTTATTAGGTATTGACCCAAGGAAGGTTTATAAATTTACAGATTTAAAAAATATTAATTAGAACGGGAGATATTCAATTTTTTAAAAAAATTCAAAAAATCGAAAATTTCAAAATTTTTTATTTTTCATGGATTGCTTTTGAAGTTTATATACTTGAGTATTATATGTTATTTAGTCACATTTTAGCATAACTTTGCAAAAAATAAAGTCCTATAACTAATATGTAAGTATAAAAATGTTTTCAAAAAATCGAAAATTTCAAAATTTTACATTTTTTTATGGATTGCTTTTAAACTTTCTATATTTGAGTATTACATGTTATTTGGTCACATTTTAGCATAATTTTTCAAAAAATACTATTCTACAACTAAGATGTAAATATAAAAATATTTTCAAAAACTTGAAAAATGGAAAATTTCCAAATTTCACAATTTTTAATGGATAGCTTTTAAACTTTCTAAAAATGAATATTATATGTTATTTAGTCAGATTTTATCATAATTTTGCAAAAAATACTATCCTACAAGAAATATAAAAAAATTTTCAATATATCAAAAAATCGATACTAATTACTATATGAAGTATAATTCAGTAGTATTTTTGGAGTCTCTGATTAATATTTTGATGTGAAAATAGTGCAATTCAAAATTATTTATCAAATCAATCTAATATTTTCAAGAAGTTCAGAAATATTGAAAATGGAAATTTTTTATGATTAAAATGATTTCGCAGGATGTCAAGAATTGTAAGTCACCTGTGATACAATACAAGCATATTATGCCACTAGGCAAAAACTTACATGTTAAAACGTTTTTTCATTTTAACTCTAGATTTAACTTTAAGAGATGTTTTGAGCAATGTGAAGACAAAAGTTAACACGGTGTCTATTTTTGTTTAACAAAATTCCCTGCTTTGTCCAAACTTTTCACGGTTTATCTCTTTTTTGTCAAATTTAAATTTACTTGATTTTATCCATAAATAAATCTACAAATGGCTATAAAAATTTACTTATTTTATGAAAATACTGTTTCTTAAGTTCATATAAATATAGATTGTATTACTTGCTGTCGTACAGTTTTCTGTTTATACTAATACATTTAACTGGGTATCTACCAAACGGGAAAAACTGTAAAAAGCTGGGAATATGCCGAACCGGGAATTTTCCTATCAAATTAAGAAAAAGTTTCATTATATTAATTCGCTTTTAAAAAATTGCTTTTTACTTCAATTTTTATTGATGTATAATATTTATGAAAACAGACCCGAGTCAAAATTTAAGCCCTACTTTCAGCCTAAAATTTAGGTCTTATGTTAGGTTTTAGCAGTCGTAACGTAGGGTCTACTTGCGATACAATTAGTTCCAATTAGACTCTACTATAACTCCAAAAACTGTATGGAAAATTTAATTTTTTTAATACATTAATTAAAGTACTACAAATTGATAAATATTGTTCTCTTCATTTGAATTGGTTAAAATAACTAATTTGATAACAAAAAGTCAATCACTGATTCAAATAGTAATATTTTCCTACTAAAATAGCTATAATGGTAACTAATTATTATTTTTTTCCGGTCAAATTAAATTCCCTAGCTATTTCCTGATTTTCCAGATTGGTAGAAACTTAAATGTATTGGTAGAAACTAAAACCCGTCGAAGACGGGTACGACAGCTAGTGAATTAATATATATATATATATAGTACTCTTCCACAAAAATATTAATATTTTTCAATTCAATATTTTTTTTGTGTTAATATTATATTTTTAATATTATAAGTTATAACTATTATATTCATTATTATAATTACTGATATAATACTGAAACTAAACTATTATTATTATTATTATTAAACTATTATACATAACTATTATTATTTATTACATTACAATTAATATTAATTATAATATCATTATTATTATTATTAATAATTATTTTTAATTAAAATTTATTATTTCGTTTAATTTAATTATAAATATTTTTCTAGGTTTTTGTCTTGGTTTGAGGGATGTTCAAGTTAAGGTGCCAGTCGCTGTAAGAAGAGGAGAGACTGTCACGTTATTTTGCTGGTATGACACGGAAGATGATCCTCTTTATATTGTCAAATGGTACAAAGCAAGACGTGAATTTTATCATTTTGCCCCTAATGCAAATCCAGCTATTAAAACATTTCCCATTGGGGGCCTAAGGGTGAATGTAAGTCAATTATTTTTTAATTAAATATAAATATTGACTAATATTAATTAAAAAAAAAAAATTAATTTAATTTGCAGGAGGCCAAAAGCAATGCGACTCAAGTTACACTCGACAATATAGATTCGGATTCGGCGGATACTTATAGTTGTGAAGTGTCTGCTGATGCGCCTTCATTTCATACAGCCATTGTGTCTGCTACAATGAATGTAGTTGGTATGAATAATTTTGTTTTTATTTTCCAGTAGAAAAGTAGATAAAAAAAAATTGTTGTCTGGTATTTAAATTACAAAAGTTAAAGTTTCGTCTCTACTCTTTGATATACAATTTTCTCGTATAACTTTGACTATGGAATGTAAATAAAATAGTAAATAAACAAAGTAAATAGAACAACAAATAGCCAAAGTATATTCTCGTATACTTTGACTATGAAATATAAATAAAATAACAAATTAACAAAGTAAATAGAACAATAAATAGCCAAAGTAAATGAAATAACGAATAAACATAGTAAATGGATTAAGTAACAAACAAAGAAAATAAAATACAATATACAATAGAGCAAAAGAAATTTGTTAAATTTTCTTAAAAAAATATTTTTACAGAATTACCTGAAGAAAAGCCAATGGTAATTGGAATGCAACGAAAGTACAAAGTTGGAGATTCAGTTAAAGTTACATGCACATCTGGTAGAAGTTATCCACCTACTAACCTCACTTGGTTCATCAATGATCGACCGGTAAAACTAAATACTATATTTCAAATTTAATATAATCTTTAAAATTAAATTCCATTAAATTATAAAAAAAATTAAATACCATTTAAATATTAACTTTAAATTAAAATATTGTCTTATTTAATCCCATTACTTTAGTATTAATTTGAATTAAAAATATTAAAATAAATTATAAAATTCTTTAACTGCTGTCTAAAGTAGAAACCTAGTAAGTCGCAAATGCGACTATAGGACTTACTAGGTTTTTACTTTGGACAGCAGTTTAGACCAGATGTATATTATTATAAAATATAAATAATATAATATAATGAAAATAGTTTAATAAAAAATAATTTGAATATGCAGCCTCATGATGCACATGTACGTACAATAAGTCCACTGGACACAAATGAATCAGAAGTGCAATTCACTCAAATTACGTTACAATTTCTTGTAACAAAGGAACATTTTGCTCATGGAAAATTAAAGATACGTTGCACTGCGTCCATATATTCAATCTATTGGCAATCGTCGGAAGTGAGTGCCGACGAAGATAAACTCAATCGGCATCAGGTGAATTTTGTACCTGTAATCACAGCCACTAGATATGGAGACCCCTACTATCAGCCGCCTCCTAATCATCAAACTGGACAGAAAATGCCCGACGGACAAATTGATGTTAAAAGTAAGAAACACTTTTTATTTTAAATATTACCTACAATAATCTGAATCACGGTAAATTGTGAGTTGTTAAAATAACACCAGAATTGATTAAAATAATCTGCAACAGTTTAATCCCTGCAGGGTTAATTAACACCGGAAAGGATTAAAATAATCCATTTTGGTGTTATTTTTGACTATGAATGAAATTTTACATTAAATCAAAACCAAGTCAACGATTACTAACAACTAACTAACAAACTAACTAATTAAATTAGTTACGAACTAATTAACTTACTAACTACCTTACTAACTATCTTCCTGACTATCTTCCTGACTAACTTCCTGACTAACTTACTGACTAACCTACTTACTTTACTAACTCACAAACTTAATTTCTAATTAACTTACTTAACATAGTTACTAACTAACTTACTAACTAACTCACAAACTTAATTTCTAATTAACTTACTTAACATAGTTACTACCTAACTTAACTTAGTTACCAACTCACTTACTAACTAACTAGCTAATTAACTTACTTCACTTAGTTACTAATTTACATACTTAACATAGTTACTAACTAACTTACTAAATAACTCATAAACTTAATTACTAATTAACTTAATTTAATTACTAATTAACTTACTTAACATAGTTACAAACTACCTTACTTAACTTAGTTACTAACTTACTAACTAACTTACTTAACTTTGTTACTAACTAACTTACTTAACTTAATTACTAACTAACTTACTTAACTTAGTTACTAACTAACTACTTTTTCTCCGTGTGAATTAAAAATTTGGTGAACAAGTAATTTAACAATAATAATAAAATAATATATGTGATATTAAATTAATAACAAAAATTAATTTTCTATTCAAGTACTCGGCTCATCTGCAGGCAGTTTGAAATCAGCGGTGCAATTTATTTTAGGATTGTTAATAAGTTTGCTATTTGTCTAAATTGAAAAGTTCTATATGTGCTTTGGAACTCTATATATAGATCGACGTGCTTTACAAAGTGAAAAACAAAAAAAAAGAAAAGAAGTTCTATTGTATTTGTAAATGAATTTTGTTTTCCATTTTCCTTTAAGATTGTTTATTCTTCATTTGATATATATGAGTATTTGTATATAAAAATAGTACAAATTACTGCCACTTTTCATTATTTAGATTATTTAAAACAAATTAATATTTTTTTAAAAAACAAATATTTATTTACATTAAACAAACTTCATTTACACTCGAAAAAAATCATTATTGATTCAAATAATCGATTCACAGTTTTTCTAAGGATATCAAATTGAGACAAAAACGAATCAAATTGTTGCTATGCAACAATTGCTATATGCAACAATTTTGATTTGTTTTTGTCTCAATTTGATATCCTTAGAAAAACTGTATTACTTTGTCTATTATCAAATAAACATTTTCTTGGATCAAATAATTTTTACTCAAATCAATTTATTATTTGCTGTATTTGCTTTAAATATGTAATGAAATTATTAGTTCAAATACAATTTATTTGATTTGAATAGAAATTATTTAATTCAAATAAATATTTATTTGATAATAATAGACAAATAATCGGTTATTTAAATCAAAAAATTTTTTTCCAGTCTGGAACAGTTAAAAAATAATGTTTATCAAATAATGTACTTGATTGAAACATAATTTTTTCAGTGTGAATGTTAATATAATTTAAAAGAAATAATTGCTTACTGCAAAAATAAGCAGAAATGCCTTTTTCAAATAAGATTTTAAAAAGTATTTACATGCGTATTATTTACGTTTTTAAAAGTGTACTTCCATAATATGGCAAATTTTTCTTGAAACAAAGTTTTTTATATATTTAAAAGAAAGTATTATATATATATAAATGTATATTTAAAAAAAAAATATAAAATGACACGAATTTTTAAGTCATTATTATATGAGAGATTTAACTATGTGAATATAATGATAACAATACTTATAATGTAATAATTGAAAATAATGAAAATAGTAATAATAATAATAATTACTATAATAAAAAGTATTATTGTCATTATTATTATTTTCATTATTAAAATTATTAATATTATAATTATAATGATAATAATTATGTGCGCTTATAAACTAACTGCCGTCTAAAAATATACAAATAATGTTTATTGTAAGTATTTTAATGAAAAACGAGAAGTGATTGATTATATACACAAATTATACAATATTATATATACATATACTATATTGTGAAAAGAAATCTTTTTCTTTTGTATATTATATGACATGACAATAATAATTATACCAAAATGCTCGAGTAATTTTGGAATGACAATAAATTGAAAGTTACCAAGTATGAATTGTTTTTTTACTGTATCAAAAATTCACTATGCGCAGTGAGAACAAGTTTATTTGAGGAGACTCAAATAAACGATTTATTTGAATCAAATAATTTTCATTCCATTAAAAATAATTTTTGTTTGCAATAAATAATTTTTATTTGAGTCAATTAACTCCTCTATAAAATTTTGAATTAGTAAACAATTTTATTAATTTGAATTAGTGACTGACTTTTTGCTTTTCAAATTTCAATTAGTAAATTATTCTACTAGTAAATTAGGGGAAATAACTATTTATTAGTAAAATTAACATTTGAATTAGTAGTTTAATACTAAAAATAAGTCAAAACTGTCTACTTAACTTAGTTACTAATTAAATTACTTAACTTAGTTACTAATTAAATTACTTAACATACTTACTAACTTACTAACTTTCTAACTTATTAACTTACTAACTTACAAACTTATTTAACTTAGTTACTAACTTAATAACTTACTAACTTTCTAACTTATTAACTTCCTAACTTACTAACTTACTAACTTATTAACTAACTAACTAGCTAACTAATTTACAAACTTAATTACTAATTAACTTAGTTACTAGCTAACTTACTAACTTACGTAACTTAATTTCTAACTAGCTAACTAACTTACTATTTTAATTACTAATTTACTTACTTAAATTTGTTACTAATTAACTTACTTAACTTAGTTTCTAATTAACTTACTTAACATAGTTACTAACTAACTTACTTACTAACTTATAAACTTAATTACTAATTAACTTACTTAGTTACTAACTAAATTACTAACTTACTAACTAACTTACAAATTTAATTACTAATTAACTTACTTAACTTAGTTACTAATTAACTTACTTAGTTACTAACTAAATTACTAACTTACTAACTAACTTACAAAATTAATTAGCAATTAACGTACTTAACATAGTTACTAACTAACTTTCTGATTAACTTACTTACTAACTGACAAACTTAATTACTAATTAACTGACTTTACTTAGTGTTACTAACTAACTTACTAAATAACTCACAAACTTAATTACTAACTTACTAACTAACTTACAAACTTAATTAGCAATTAACGTACTTAACATAGTTACTAACTAACTTTCTGATTAACTTACTTACTAACTGACAAACTTAATTACTAATTAACTGACTTTACTTAGTTACTAACTAACTTACTAAATAACTCACAAACTTAATTACTAACTTACTAACTGACTAGCTTACTAAATAACTTTCTAACTAACTTAATAACTAGCTAACTTTGTTACTATTTAGTTAACTTAGTTACGAACTAACTAACTTACTTACTTAATACCTTACTAAGTTAGTTATTCAGTTAATCAGTTAGTAAGTTTGTGAGTTAGTTACTTAGTAAGTTAGGCAGTAAGTTAGAAAGTTAGTTAGTTACTAACTAACTTTTGTCCATGGTGAAGCTAAATTCGTCGAATTTTGACAAATCGTTGACTTGGTGTTTGATTTAAAGTAAAATTTTATTCACAGTAAAAAATAACACAAAAATAACATAAAAAAATAACACACATTAAAATAATCATTTTAATGTTTAATCCTTTCTGGTGTTAATTTAATTCTAGAGGGATTAAACTGTTGCAGATTATTTTAATCTATTGTATGGTGTTATTTTAACACCTCATGATTTACCGTGAATAAAATAAATTTTTTTTAAAATGATAATAGTAACCGGCCATTCGAATAAAATAAATTTTTTTTCACTGTGTAAAAAATGGTTCTTAGTTATAATCTGTCAATTTATACACTAGATAGTATACATAATACAATCTTCTTTTCAAATAAGTCTTGATGCTGAAACGTCATCGCCGCAGGTTGCATAAGCACACATAGGTGTACATATACCTCTGCCTACTTCATGTTCTCCTAATAGACGTTTAAAACTTTAGAAAATATTTATATTTTAAATTAAAAAAAACTATCTTGAAAAAAAGGATATTTTTTTTGTTTTTTTTTTTATATTTTGCTTGTTAGATTTGTGTTATTAGAAGTGGACTTAGAGGTATTTTCACCTGTGTAAAATTTTGTCGGATCGTGAAATCTACACTTTCAGCCAACGCTCACTTCACGATGTGTGCACCAGTTCTCGTTCGATCACTGAAGTTAAGCATCGTTGAGCGCGGTTAGTACTTGGATGGGTGACCGCTTGGGAATACCGCGTAGTGTTGGCTTCATTTTTTTTTTTTAATAAATAAAGGTACTTTTCCAAATAAAGAGGTTTCTGAGTTTAGCGTCAGCGCTGAAAGTAGAAAATATTATTTTTTTCCAAGAAAGGAATTTTCTTTCATTAAAAAAGAACGGAATAATTTTTTTTAATATTTTAATAGAACAAAGCACAGTGGAATTTTTTAACACTAATTTTCATCCCAAAAAAAAATTGAAATTAATGTTTTTAAAGTTCTAAACGATGTAATGAACGAAATTTACTTATTTCTTCTTCAAGCTAAAATTTTATTACGAAATAGTTTTGCGTCAAGTAAAAAAAAATAATTAGAAAGTTTATAAATGTTAAATGTTAAATTTTTACTTTTAACTGCAATCGAATATTTATGAAAACGTTTTTATGAAGAATATTTCGCTTTTTAAACGTTCAAAACTTCTATAATGAATTAAAATTTCATTCTTGAGTTAATTATTAATTCAATTAAATGTTTAGTAAAAAGAATAATAATAAAAATAATAAAATAATAATTTAATAGTATATTAGAAAACTATTAATATTTCTATATTAATTTTTTACTAAAAACTTGTGAGTAGAATTTTTACTATTTTTTACTTTTATTATCAATTTACTATTTTTAGTAAAATTCAAATTTTACTAAAACTTTATTCATTACTATTTTTTATTTTTTATAATTTTGTTTCTATCAAATTAGTAGTTTTAGTAAAAATAAAAATTTGTTTAATAATTTTTTACTATTTGCTTTTTAATCCAATAAAATTAGTAGTTTTAGTATAATTAAAAAAATTTACTATTTATCATTTTTACTATCAAATTAAAAGTGTTAGTAAATTTAAAAATTATTATTTATTATTCTTATTATCAAATTAGCAGTTCTAGTAAAATTTATATTCTTTTTACTAAAAATGTTTCGAGTAAAATTCATACAATTTATTATTTTTACTACAAAAATTTATAATTTGAGTAAAATTAAGATTTTTTTTACTAAAATTCTTAATGCTAATTATTTTTACTCTCAAATTAGTAGTTGTAGAAAAATTACAAATTCTTTTACTGAAACTTTTTGAGTAGAATCTTTACTATTTTTTATTTTTACTATCAAATTAGTGATTTCAGTAAAATTAAATTTTTTTACAAAAACAAAACAAATATTTGTTTATAAATATTTATTTTCTTAATTTATTTGATTATTTTTTTTAAACTACTTTTTTATTATTTGATTTTTTTTTAGATTTTTTATATCATTTAATTCTTCTTTAGATCTTTTTTTTATTATTTTTTTATAGTTTCATTTATTTTTTTGTTATTCTTTCTTATTAATCCATTATATATTACAATGCAGTTTTTGTTTCATTTAGTTCAAAAAAAAAAAAAAAAAAATGTTTAAAAAAATTTGATTCATAAAAATTTATTTTCTTTATTTATATAAAAAAATATTTGTAAAAAATTGTAATTAAGAAATAGAAACAGTGAAAATTATTTTCCTCTTTCGAATAAAAAACAAAATTTTTGTTTTTTGATTTTATATATTAGAAATATAGAAATTATGCAAAATATTTTCTTCTTTTTCTAAAATGAAACTCATAATTTTGTGTGAACAAAATAATTTTGATTGAG